CAACACCATGGACAATGCCGCTGCTTCATAATCATTTGGATGCTGGTCAGGCTGACACGAAGAATGCACTGAAATACATCATCCCCTCTCCATCACGCTAAAGCGAGCAGCTAGTCAATACTGACAATGTCAAGAAGAGGAAAATAATGTAGTGCGCCCACAGTTTGTTCTCAAATGACAACATCTTAGTACGAGCCGGGTTAGTCTGGAAGCTCGAGGCATTGCGAGTGGTTTGTGACACCGCACGGCTCCTCCTGTCCACACAGGGCATGGAGGGCTGATCAAGGGCATTTAAGAGATCGGCCTCCTCTGTGAACTGTGTTGAGACTATTTCTGTATAGAATATGCTGCTGGCATTCAGACTGGGCTCAGAGTTTTTAGCTTGGCAAATGAAAACCCGTGCTTAACAGTCCTCTTCCTTCCTAATCCCCCCCCCATAACTTGGCTACATCACACCCACTCCCCAAAATATCCCTCTTCCTACTCCAGGCATCTTCTGCTCACTGTCTGCACCGGGCTCAGTTCTCGGTGCAACGCCGGCATGTGTTATCAAAAGAAACTCAGGTTTTTGTGTTTCTCCCCACATCTATTCAAATCAAATATGCTTGTGTGTTTTCTTCTTCTATTTAGAGCTTTACCAAGAATCTTCAGCTTTATTTTTCCTGCACGACACTAACACTCACTCCAGCAAATTCAAAGAACGTTTCGCCAAACCCTGAGAGCATGCTTTCGATGGTTTCATCTTTATCTGCTGGCGTCTTCAGCTCAATAAAAATCTGGCAAATTTGCATGCAAGATCGTAGATTTTCAGTTTGGATTGAAGCCGGTGCAATCTGGAATCTCGACTGCTGCAGTTTCATTAATGGAGCAATGCACTCCGCCTGTCAGTATTTATACACGGTGCTCAAGAAGCTCCCGATGGTCATGCCGAGCAGCAGAGAGTAAAAGTCTCCACTTAAATTCCTGAAGCATTTCTCTCCATCATTAACTGGTCACACTTCAGTAACTCTGAACTAATCTGAGCTGCCTGACCACGACTAACGTCAAACTCGGTCAGGCTTTTTGCAGCCATTAGCTGCTGGAACGGCATTCAGATGTCTGATGACTTGGTCTGCAAACCTGAGGAAAAAAAAAAAACTTGGAGAGCTTTTGTACTTAAAATAAGAAATAATAATTAAGTATGAAATGCTGGATTGTATTTTACATTACAAATACTCGTATGGGATTACAGCAGCCCTATTTTTATGTACAGCAGCACATGTTAGCAAGTTTGCTTGGCAAGCAAAAGGTCGATTGGTTCACTTCCAGCCAGAGACACAAATACCCTGAAGGGTGCTAGTGTGTAAAAACATCCAAGCCCCCCCCCCTAAATTTTGACTTCATGTTATGCTCACTTCATGCTGAATTCTAACATTTCTTACACTTTAATTTGTTGCCCCCAAAGCTGCGTCTACACAGGGCCCAATTCACTCGTCATGCACGACTTTGAAGCTAGTTCACTGGTGAACTTTCCACGCTCATGTGGAAAACATTTTTAAACCTTTTGAGCTACACATTTCTCAAACAGGAAGTGAGGAGCCCTGGTCCTTCCTCATGTTTTCCTACCAGCTGAGTTGCTGGTGAGGTCGCTGTTACGATCATCTTTTCCATCATTCAGCCGTTTGAGTCTTTCATTCCACCTAAGTAGGGACGGCTCAACTTCACTGATGGAGCCACTAACTTTTAAATTACACCAGCGAACTCTAAAGCGCAAAATCAGAACATCGATTTGTGAACAGAAAGCACTGCACATTTTATACTGTGCTTTACTATTACCATATATGAGCTACTGTGTAGAGGTCTGGGGAAACACATACAAAAGTAACACACAAACAATAACTATAATACAGAAAAGGGCCATTAGATTAATAAATAATGTGGGGTACAGGGACCATACAAATGCACTCTTTGTCAAAATGCAAGCTATTAAATTCCAAGACTTGGTGAAGCTTAAAACAGCGCAAATAATGTTTAAAGTAAGAAATAAATTACTTCCAGAAGAAATCTGTAAATTGTTCATAGAAAGAGAAGGTGGGTATAACTTAAGAGGGAAATGGAATTTAAAAATACAAAGTGCTAGAACAACTTTAAGAACGATGTCTATCTCAATTGCAGGAGTTAAATTATGGAACAGTCTAACAGAAGAAATAAAAGTAAAAACATAAAACAGTTTAAAGTAAAATATAAAAACCTAATTTTAAATAAGTAAGAATGAAGAAAACGGGGTTAACCCAGGACGGTAATGTTGCTGGTAATGGTGTTGTGGTTCTTTTTTGGGTTTTTTTGTTTTGGTTTGTTTGTTTTTCCATAACTTGTGTATCTGCAAATATACACATTCTGTATTTTTCATATGAAAGAAACTATACTGTGGTGGGGCTTGCTAATTTCTTGATTCTGATTTATGTTTTGTTTTGTTTTGTTTTGCTTTACTTTTGTTTCATATGTTGTTTGTTTAATTTAAGACTAAAAGAAAATTAAATGAATTAAAACTTGAGGGGGCTAGGGACAAATAAGTAAATACTTCTGCCTGCTGCTTTTCAAACAAATAATGGAATGATATTTTGAAATGATTGTGAAGGCACATGTTTGAAATGTTTGAAATAAAAATGAACTGAACTGAATCCCAGCAGAAACCAGCTCATGCAGCTCGTGAGCGGGACACACGCCCACCAAAGAAAGTTAATGTTTTGGAACGGCTGAGTCAAACCTCTGACCGTGAACCTATAAAAATACCGTGAAAGGACCTGAAGGTTCGCGCAGAGCTTGCGTGAGGAAATCCACCAATTTTCCAGCTGAATGTAGAAATCAATACCTATTAACTACTTCTAAGAAAGTTTCTATAAGAAGCACAACACCATTCCCTTCAAAATAAACACTACCAGAGAGGGAGCTGCCTTGGTGGAGGATTGTGCTCTCCTGCCTCTCTCGTGCTTCTTGTTCAGCCTGTGTCCAGTCTTTAGACTTGTATTCAGGGTTCAGAGTTCATGTTATATTCATGCAAAAAGCGTAAATGTTCACCAGCACTCTCTGTTCTCTCCAGTAGATTGGTACATTTTATGGGAGATTAGATTTTTTATGAAAGTTCTTTTTATTATTTTCCCCTAGTATCCTATTTATAAATGCAGAGTGACACTTGAGTAGAGAGACCTAAATTACTTTTGCTGAATGCAGCGCTGCAGTAATTACAAAAACAGCAGTTTTAGACCTAACCCACGTCTCTGGGTGTTTAAACTGTGGTACTTACCTTCTTACAAAATACAGTAGTGTTATGATCTTACACGAGTGTCTCTCAAGATGCCACTCTGTAGCCCTTATTATTTATTAGAGATGGCTTTTTGATTTCCTATCAGATATTGTGAAAAGGCTGCAGGTCTCTGTCATGTTCAAGGAGCCTTAAAATGGATCAAGGCCGAATGTGGAGCATCGATCACAAGAGGTGTCATCTCTGCCTTCGCTGTCATTGATTGTCACTGTCAGAGCTGTTTGGGTGCACCCTCAGGAAATGAACACAGTCATCGTGGACGTGTGTGTGTGCGGTTGTCACAAGCACGTGTGCGCATGTTTAGTCCTTCGCAATACCTGTCTTTGTGAGTAATTAAAATAAACCACCAGAGATGTGGCATTTGTCATCCTCCCAGATTATCAGCGTTTCGAGCGGTGCGAAAGTGGTACGTTTTTTTGTCAGGGAAAAAGCTCTCATCGCAAAATTTGGATTAAAAAAAACAGACAGAGAGAGATAGATGCATTATTCTTGACTGAAAGTGTTTAAGTAGCTCAAACCGATTGACGGGCAGGTCGGACACACCAAGAGCTGTCAAATGACCACAGTTCTCAAATCAGCTGGTCCTTTTCACTTCACACCCACTCAGTTTGAGCACATTTTATGTGTCAAAGTCTGGATTACACAGGCACAACTGATGGATCACAGTCAGCTGTCCTTTCGCTTGCTAGCTTTTTACTATTATGGGGTTTGAATGTCCTCTTTTACCATTTTGAACACTTCACCATCGCAGTAAGAGTACAACAAGGAGGTTTTTACTCTGGACCTGATGCCAATATTGGATATTTGCAGTAAAATATCCACAGCAGCCTTGGCTGTTGACATGCATAACCAATCAAAGTGACGAGGACTACCCTGCTGGCCCTGCTGTAGCGTCCACTCATTCTGAGGTCTGTTTTTCTCTGTTCCCGATGCTTTTCCCAGACCGACAGGCACAGCCCGCTGCTCGGCGTACGCTCTCGTCCCTCTCTGGACAGCGGGAAGATGAGAGCATCAGTCAGGATGACCCGATACCTGGAGTCCTGGGGAGCTGCCAAACCTTTCGCCAATCTCCACCATCGAGACAGCATGACCACAGACAACGGCAAAATCAACACCAGAGTGAGTGCTGCTCTTTCTCGGATGCGAACACAAAGGTTCAGATACGACTTACTCATGGTCCGATTCTTTTTTCAGGACGTTCCGATGGGCCAGTACCACTTCCAGATGAGACGAGAAAGGTTAGCAAGCGGCATATTTATGACACGTGATCGCTCCGCCCTCGGGACAGTTTATTCAAGCAGTTACACAAAACCACTTTTATCCTGCTTATGTATCAGTTCTTTCTCTCACTCACTTTAAACCCAGGTCCAAATCCCAGAGGAGGAGGTTTGAAGAAGAACTCAATGAACGGATGATTCGCACCATTGACGGCATTAACTCACAAAAGTAAGCAAGCGCTGTGTCCGCTGCATTATCTAGTTCTGCTTCACATTTCTGAAGTCAGAAAGTCAGTCTGCAGTCAAAGAAAGTCATCGGATTCAGGGCCGCAGTGACAGATGCAGATGAAGGTCTGTTTATTTAGTCATGTTTTATGATTTAAATATGATGAAGCAGTCTTGAATGCACTGATGAATCATTTTAAGTAATATATGATGAATTCAATTCAATTCAATCCAATTTTATTTATATAGCGCCAAATCACAACAAAAGTCGCCTCAAGGCGCTTCATAGATACAGAGAAAAACCCAACAATCATATGACCCCCTAAGAGCAACAACTTGGCGAAAGTGGGAAGGAAAAACTCCCTTTTAACAGGAAGAAACCAGCAGAACCAGGCTCAGGGAGGGGCGGGGCCATCTGCTGTGATTGGTTGGGGTGAGAGAAAAAGGGGAAAAAATGAAGGAAAAAGGGGACGATTACAGCACTAAGCAGATAAATCTAAAGTAAAGCACTGCATTTATAAGAAAAAGCACCTTTGGGATATTGTTTCAAGCAAGTAAAAAGACCCTCCCATGAGAGGTATAACAATAGAAATACTGTATAATACAGTGCAGTGAAAAAGTATTTTCCTTTTCCCAATTTCTTTGTTTTTGCTCAAAGATAACCTGAGTAAATACAAAAATTAATTTTTCTTCTTGAAGGGAAAACAAAGCTATCCAAATGTACTTTGCTCCATGTGGAAAAAAAATACCCTTTGTTTCTGTGATCAGGCTCGAGAAGTGGAGTGGGTGTCCTCAGAGAGTCATTCTCAAAAATGAACCCTGTCTTCAGCATGTTCCCCAGCGCTGTATAAATGTGTGTGCAGCTGGTGAAAGTGGCTCTGGTGTATCACAGGGATAGAAAAGCTCTTTATAAACGGAGTTCTTTTCCCATAGTAGTACACAATTGTGTAGTTGTCACTACATTCACCGTACAGGTGAAAGATCGTCGGTTCAAGACTCAGAGGAGACACAAATCCGGCCTCAGGGGAGTCATGAGCTGGTGTACTCTTAGCGCTGGTCATACCTCGCCCAGGAGGGCTGAATCAGGAAGGACATCCAGCGTAAAACTGCCAAATCAAACACGCGGACCCATCCACTGCGCCCACCCCTTGGGAAATAAAGGAAGTGGGCTGCACCCCTAACTTCTGACCTCAGCAATATCAAAATGGATGAGTTATAAAACCAAAGCTCACACACTCTTCAGCTGTTATGTGGTTGGGACGTGCATTATTGTTCTATACACAGCCGTTGGCACATTGTGACGTGAAATATTGTTTTTCCGCGCCAGCTGATTTTATCTCTCACTGAGGATACAGCGACCATTAGTCATCCGGGGAATGACTTCTGGACTTTGTCTCACTTGTTGTCTCCAGACAGTGGCTGAAGTCTGAAGACATCCAGAGGATCTCATTGTTCTTTCACAACAAAGCCCTGGAGAAAGAGGTAGGCGAATGCATACAGAACAGCAGCCGGCATCGCTCGCTGGGAGAAACAAATCAATGCAACTGTGTGGGTATCGGTGGAAAAGAAGTTGTTATGCAGGCTATATAAGGCTTATAGAACACAGGAGTGTCCACTAAATATTCTATACTACACCTCTGACTTCAAATTTCCATGCTCGTCTCATCATTTGGAGATTACCACTATACACTATAGCTAGACTGTCCTTTCCATTAGGACTGATTGTTGTTACTTCTTTTGTTTTACGCTACCTAAATTTAGAGTATCATTAGAAACCAGTATAAACTTGTAGGTGCTGAAAGTTAAACCCTGAATTCACAGCAATTACATGGTAAATGTTAAGCACTATCATTTTTTTCACACATGATCAATTCTAACTTGTTTGCAACGCATGCTTAGTGCTCGTTCTGACTCTGATTTCTGCACTCATGGTCTCTATCTTCTCTCTGCAGTACAGATCCACCACATTACCTGCCTTCAAGTACTACGTCACCTGCGCCTGCCTCATATTCTCCTGTATATTCATAGTGCAGGTCCTCGTCCTGCCCAAGTAAGTCTGTGCCAGTCTTACAGGGTTTACGCGAACTCCAGCTGTGACAGCAGGGCTGATGTGAAAAAGCCATTTGACGCCAGCTGTCTCATCAACGGGCACCGCGCTGAAATGAAAGAGGCAGGGGAGCAAGAGGCGGGATGTTAAAAAAGGCGATGGAGATGAAAGGGCAGCGTGTCTGCTAGTGATTATAGATCAGGTGAATCAAAGTGTGGCGTCTCTTTAATAGCGGGGAGAGAGAGAGAGATTCGCGGTCATGCTAATTTACTGCTTCTGGGAGCCAAAAGTGTAATTCAGCATCTGAGAGGCCATTGATTTTCTAATTCAGCCGTCTCACCCTCTTTATCTTTGCTCTGTTTGCTGCAGCATCGCGTCGCACATTTTAGACGTGACATCATCAGTTTTATGGCAGGCGTCCTTAAATCAGCCGTTACCGTGTTACTCCACAGGAAAACTGAAACATGAGCAAACCTGTTTTTGAGCCGTACGATCCATGTTATGCTGCCCTAGCGTAAACGAACTGCAGGTCTGAGGTAGAATACATTAAAAGTTCTGTGATATTTATTGGCCCGGATGGCACTTTAGAAGGCTGAGAGGTGCCAAGAGACTAAAGAGTAATGTGTGTGTGTCTGTGTGTGTGTTGCAGAACTGCTGTGCTCGGGATCTCCTTTGGGATGGCATTCCTGTTACTGGCTTTGATCCTGCTCCTTTGCTTCGCTGGTCACATTCTGGTAGGTTCAAATACACACAGAAAAGCATGTGCAGACTCAGAGAAACCCCAGTTTTAATAAACATATGCACAACGTAACCCTAAGATGGCCTGTTTAATAAGTCTGTGCCCCGGTTTTGATGAGTTAACTTCTAGTATGTCATTAGTCTGTTAGCACTAATTAGCCGGTATCGCTGTCTGTATATGGAACCAATACAGCTTAGGGATGGGTCTTATTAACCTAGTTTGCTAGTGGTACCTGATAACGCTCCACCAGAATCATAGACTGTATGTAAATGATGAACACAGTGGTTTTACCATTGGTTTCTCAACCCTACAACTTGAAGCTACTATTTATATTTTTGTGGAGCCAGAAATACCCATTTTCAGATGACAGTTGGGTGGTGTGGTAGGTTATTAGCAAGCTGGTTCATTATTAAACTATACATGCACCATGCCTTCTAAAAAGTCCTCAATAACACTGATAAATACTAGACTTGTTTTTAGTGTACGGCAAACTTCTTGGACAGGCTGTACCTCAGAACATGTTCGGTTTAAATGTTCAAATAGGGACCAATCAGACTGTGAACTTGTTAATTTCATAGCTAAAGTTGTGGTGAGAGTCTGTGGGTATGAGCTCACTTTTACAGTTAGCCCCAAGTGGCCATTTAAGGAATTGCAGCTTTTGGGATCTCAACATTGGCCAGAGGTTGATGTTTGGTGTAAAGCTCTAACTATGCTATATAACTTTACGAGCCAACTTTGATTAGGTACCCCAGTTCAGCTTCTCATTAACACAAATCCTTAATATGTCAATCAAATGGCAGCAACTCAGCGCCCTTAGGCTTGTAGACATGGTCAAGACGGCCTGCTGAACTTTAAAAGTGAGCAGCAGTTCTTGGGGCCAAAATGATTTGCTTGTGCCAGAGGTCAGAGGAAGGAAATAGTAACTCAAATAACCACTCATTACAACCAAGATATGCAGAAGAGTATCTCTGAATACACAAGATATCAAACCTTGAAGCCCGTCTGGTCTGATGAGTCTCGATTTCTGCTGTGAGATTCAGATAGTTGGGTCAAATTTGTCATAAACAACATGATAGCTTGGATCCATCCTACCTTGTATCAGTGGTTCAGGCTGGTTGTAGTGTAATGGTGTGGGGGATTTTCTTGGCACACTGAGCATTGACTGGGTATTGTTACCTCCAAGCAGAGTAACGCACCATGTCTCAAAGCTCATATCATCTCAAACTGGTTTCTTCAACATGGCAATAAGTGCATTGTACTCAAACGGTCTTTCAGTTTAACAGATTCCTTTGGGAATTAGTGGAAAAGGACATTCTGCTCATGAATGTACAGCTGACAAATCTGCAGCAGCTGTGTGATGCTATCATGTCAATATGGGCTAAACTCTCAGAGGAATGTTTCCAGCAACTGATTGAATTAGTGCAACGAGGAATTAACCAGCCTGGTACTACGCACACGTAACTATGTTTTATATATACAGTAAAAGGACAATGTTTTTTGCACTTACTACCTCCTACATAAAATGCATCTCTATAAATAACAGTGTAATTAGATCCTTTATACTTGAGAGATGGTTGATTATCAGAAAAGATTAACAGATGTTCAGCAGAGGAACAGCTGCTATCATTACATGTGAGGAGTATCTACTCTTTTGTTCTCCTTCATAAATTAGCGCATGCATGAATTCCCTGCTACAGCTAGCTTTCCAACATAAGTATTGGTTTGGGTATTGTTTTCAGTCAGCCACAAGAACCTGACACAGGATTTATGGACAATCAATAATGCTTTCTCCTTTAAGAACCCATTTCCTTGTCCTCCTTCCTCTAGAGAGTATCATCACACAATTAGGTCACTTCTAGTTAGTGGGGAGATATTAATAACCGTGGGTCTCTCCTGACCTAGGTATTCAAAAAGGAAAAAAAAGGAGAGCTTAAGTTTGATGAGTTTGCACTAACCATGATTTTAACAGTCAATATGTTCCCAGTTAAAGCTGCAGTGGTCACACGTGTGACTAATGAGAAACCTTGCATGCTCTGTGTGCTTTGGTTCTGTGCGCCCGGTTGGGTTTGTGTAAGTCATTATTAATGGGGCATATAATAGCTAAAGGACATGTTCCATTCATCTGTGAAAGAGTGCATTACACGGTTATTGTGATCAAACACATTTCTTGGAAAATATCTTTTCAACTCAGATGAGCTAAACTCACCATTTCAGCCAGAGTAGGTGTTTTTTTTGTTTGTTTGTCTTCGTTCGTCTCGGAAAACACTGCTGTAGTGTCGCAAAATACAAGGACACAAAACAAAGCATGTGTGAACATACCGTCCGGAAGGGTGACAAATCAGAAACTAGCCGGCAAGCTAATGTACACTAATATAACTTACTTTAGATCATATATCTGCCTGAGGTAAATTCATCCTGTCTCAGTGGAGACACAGGAGCTGCCAAATTTCTTTTATTTGTCAGCTTAAATGTATCATTTCATATATGCTGAAAGTGTCCTGAGGACACAGAACTATAGTAGTGTGGTTAAATTGAGCGCAGAAAAAGCACAAAATGCTCTTTCTCTGACAAAAGCTACAATTTGAAAAGACCTGAGAAGTTGTTTTTTTTTTTTCTTAAGAGGAGACCATAATTGTGTTGGATTTATTCTAGTATAAGCATCACTGCTTTGTCAAACAGATGCCCCATTGTCAAAATCCCCCTCCCTCCTCCTGGTATTGAATCCTCCATCTGAACAGGCCTCAGAGAAATCAATGTTACTCTGTATGGGAGCCAGGGAGGACAATGTTCTTGAGTGGCCCCGTAGCTTTCTTTTTTCCCTGCCAGGCTTGTTGAGAAGTTCAAATTATTATGTTATTATCCACATCAGTCTTGATTTTTCTTCGGTCTATAGGGCAAAGAATAGACTTAATAGTATCCTACCTGGGTTAAATAATTCCATATCTAGCCACACTGATTAAGGATCATTATTAATCCTCTTAACTATTTAATAAAACTGTGTAGCCAGGGAAAAGCTAGACCTCTCTCTTTTCGTAGCTTATCCTTTTATTAATGCTAGTTTCTGCTTGTTCTAAAGAAACAAACCGACTGATTGGTTTTCTGCTCTTGTTACTAATCAGGTTTGGGGTTGCCATTTGAAAACGAAGCCTTAGTAGAGCTTTCGTTGCATGTAAAAGCAAGCCCAACGTAGCCAATGGCAGCATTATTCCCTGTGTATGTACATGGGGATGACAGTTGGTCATTAGTGGGCACTCCAGGCTCTGCTTGCATAACCCTCTAATGTACTGTGTGCCAGAGCAGAGTGGATAGAAGTCTTTCAAAGGCCTTTACTGCATCTAAACTTATTATTAGACATGCACTGATCAATAAGCCGGTGATTGGAACAGGCTGGTGTCCAGTCGGCCTCTAATTTACACACATCTGTTCCAAAACTGCCACAGTTTGAAATGCACCAACCCAGAAGGTGATAGTGTTAGAACCGCATGAATGAGTATGTGTGAAGGCAACACTGGCCTCAGTGAGGAATCTGGCAAAGGGAGCCCTTATCAGAGGAATCATAACACATCTCCAGATAAGGTCTGTCTCTCTCCCCCATCCCCAACTGTTCGTGGTAGATGTGTGCGTCTGCCTGAGCCTGCTTGTGCCAGAGGTTTCTTATTGTTTAAAGGGAGTTTTTCTTTCCGCTGTCGCCAAGTTCTTGCTCTTGGGTTTGTCTGATTGTTGGGATTTCTCTGTATTATTGTAATGTCTTTACCAGACAGTATTATGCACCTTGAGGTGACCGTTGTTGTGATATGGTGCTGTACAGATAGAACTGAATTGACCAATAAGTTCTGACTATAAAATCAAATCCCATATGTTTGGATCTATTGCTGTTTATCAGTTAGCTCAGGTCACTGGTAAAACTCATTATTAATACCATTTAGTTGTTTTTTGCATGCATTAAGATATCTGTGAGTCTTTCCTCCTGTTTACTTGTCTCATAATATATTTACATTGTATATTACCATACAGTATTACTGTACTCTACTGCAGCGGTGCCCAACCCCTGGGCCTTGGACCAGTACCGGTCCGTGAGTCATTTGGTACCGGGCCGCGATAGTTGAGGCTTGGCTGTGAAATTTATGGTTTTCAGGGTTTCATCGTGATTTTTTATTGTTTTTATCGTTAACTCGGTTTCCCGTGTGTTATGAATAAATCTTATTTTTTTTGGGTACCGGTACTGGTTTTATGTTGTTGTATTTATCCGCGACACCTTAAAGACCGGTCCTTGAAAATACTGTCGGACATAAACCGGTCCGTGGCGCAAAAAAGGTTGGGGACCACTGCTCTACTGTATATTACATTCAACCACATATGCAAATTTAATACACTGCTCAGCCTTCTAAGTAAAAGAGAGTCCAAAGATAGTCCTGCTGCCAGCATTACCTTCTTATTAACAACAGATGGATGTGTAGCATGCATCTTTTCCAGTTCAGAGATCTTTCTGTTTTATTTGAATTCCGCACACTAATTATTCCTATATCACAAGACACCACATGGGAATGAATGACCTTCTTGAACTTGTGCATGTAATTGCTGTAGCTATATCTTTATGCCTTAGGAATCATCTGCCCTGGACTGTATATAAATAAGATAAATGTGATGTTTTAAATATACTGTTTTCCAGCTTACAGTATCATTTTTAATTAATCCCCAGAGGAAAGCAGTGTTTCTCTTTAGCACTCCCACTCCCTGTTTCCTCACCTTCAAGTCATTCCCTCTGTTTCTTTGTATCCACAGCAGGGAAGGAAGGGGTCCTTCTGCTCTCTTACATGGTTTCCGACTTCTTCTCGCATCATCGTCACCAATAACCCCTGGCTGCGATTGGTCCTCACCATGACGACCACTGCTCTCGTGCTGGTCATGGCTGTCTTTAACATGGTGAGAAGCCAGTTTTAAATGTTGTGAATGTGGTTTGACTGCTGGTTCTTGGAAGAGCTGCTGAAGCGTCAGATGCATTTTCTGATAAAAGCTGCAGTAGCACAGTGGATATTTCTGATGATTTATATGATTTGGTTTGAATAGACGGCACCAATACTGGCTTAAACTTTAACATTTTTTTTATAATGCTGTTTATTCTCACAATTGGTTACATTGATAAAGTGTACAAATCAGTGAGCAGCAAATGGAAGCAGACACATCCATCAGTGGGAAATGGATAGTGTATATATGTGTGTTTGTGTGTGCGTTGTTTATGTGCAAGACTGACAAGAGATGCAAGGAGTCCACTGCTGCTACAATCTTCCTCCTCACCCTCCGGTCAGCGGTTCAGACGGAGCAGTGGACTCCCAGCTCTCGGTACACTGTACAAGGTGAAGATATAATCCATAACCTGCTGTGTTCTGCAAAGCAGAGCTTGTTGTAGCGTTGTGACTTAACCGGGGACTGAGACGATGACAGTCATGAGGCTTTACTTGCCCCAACTAATAAAAATCAGTATATACATTTTATAAAATAGAGTAAATAAAATAAAAAATATTTCTGTTCAATACATACAGTCTCTCTCTCTCTCTCTCTCAGCCACCCCAGAGCATGCAAGGCTTTTCATGACTTTCCATTTCTCCAGATCAAAAGAATGCATAGATAATTAAGTTAAATTCAGCATCAACTTAACTGCCAACTGTGAGCGCTTCCGATCGCCTCCGTGTTCATTATTTGCTCTTGTATTTTTCTTTATCTACAATCGATATCAGTATTTTACACTTTGGCAATTTGGCGAATTTTCAAAAAATAGAAAAGAAAAAAAAGGCATTTCATTAGAGGAAAATAACAGGCAAAAAGAAAAACATAGCTTATAACGATGATTAATGCCAAATGTTACATGAAATCGGTATTATGTACACAAAGTTTTTGTCATCTCGTTCATATTTCAGCATCCTTGTGACAAAAGAAGAAATCATCTCCGTTACTAAAATAGTTTCTTTAGGTTCCCCCGTGGAGCCAACAGACGAAGTGCAAGACAACATGCTGCCCCCCCCCTCAAGTTACTGCCTCAGCCCCTGTCGAGCATTTCTTTGTTTTTTTAGGCAGCAGCCACTTATTTATCACAGAAATGTGACGCAGCACAAACAAAAACAACAAAACAAAAACAGGCAAAGACGAAGAACGGGAATCTCACAAGTCAAGGAAAATACCGGTGACTTCAACTCAGCCTCCTAGTAGATGTACCTAGTTTGAAACTCCTATGTCGCCTCGTTCTCAAGTTATCGCATTTACAAGATTTTCTGAAAACTTGACCCCGAACCTGAAGGCAAAAAAATTTTAAGGTGGTTTTTGTGCACTGCAGACTATGTCAAGTTGAAATAAATCAGTGCTGCAGACAGAACAGCAGAAAAACAGTTGCCACGGGGTTGCAATCAAACCTTCTTAATAGTAACAATAATTTTAACCACTTGCTACAACTGAAGTTTACCAGTGTGTGTTTTTATAAATGAAGCTTTTGGGGAACTTTATAACTACATTGAATTTTCTTCAGTAATCCAGATACAAGTCTTGTCTCAAAATCAAAGGTCAGAAAAATGTCGTTACACCTTAAAAGGCAAGTAGATCAATGGAAGTTTAAAACTTATAAGTGGGAGAAACAGGAATACTTCTCTAAGAGCAATCAGAGGTTTTGAAATGATGAAAAGGTTAATGCCCTTCCTGTGGAAAGGTGTTTTAAGGAAACTGGTAAACCTGATCATGTGGTCGACATAATGGATTCTATGAATACTCAGATTGTTTCGAAGAGGGAAATGGTGCCCACAGAGCATAAACTGAACCTTAATGGTCATTCCTGAAAGACAATCGTGCGTAACATAAATATAAGCCAACCCAAAGTCATCCCCCACCAAGGTCTTCAAGGTCAACTTAATGATTTAGTGGTTGAAAATTGAACAATTGATCAACGTATCTAAAGTATCTTATAATATGGTATCTTAAATATCATGTCACATTTGATCACTAACCTCTTCTTCAAGGTCAATAGATTGATCCAAAGGTCAGAGTGATAATAATACGATACAGAGCTATTTAAAACGATGTTTCTTACTGCCATCGTTTGTATTGACAACATATAGGGAATGTGAATATGTGGGGATTCTAAATATCACATTACTTTGAACCTTTGACCTCGTCTTCAAGGTCAAATAAGGCCAAACTTTGATAAAATGCCTTTAATTTTTAAAACTGTGATTAAAAGTCTTCTGCCTTTGTTTGGCAACATTTAGGATATGAGGGATAATTTATGGGAATTATTACATTGAAGTAATGCATTAAAGTCTGCATCCAAATATCATGTCACATTTGACCTCTGACCTCACTTTTACATGTCACACCAGCCATTCTTTCAAGTTGACCCAAATGTGTTTTTACTGCACTACAAATGTCTTAAAATATGCTTAGAAGGGACAACGAAAACAAAATGAGTATGAACAAAAGGCAGCACTGTTCCCTTAAAAGTAAACACTGCCCAGAGCGTGGCAGAGGTTGGCACTCTCTGAGGTTTCCTTCCAAGGAGCAAGACTTTATTGTAAATCTTTGACATTTTTCTTTGAACACTGGATGCTTTTTCACTCCCTTTCAGTCCAGTCCTTGTATGTCCACATGTTTTCCCCGTCTTATTGTTAAGTCTCCGTCTGTGTTAGGTGTTCTCATGTTTGGTCATTTCCTGTGTTATTTTGGTACTCTCTGTCTCATGTGGCTGTTCAGTTTTCTTTCCCCGAGTCCTGTTTCCCCCGTTTGTCTGCACCTGTGTGTTCCCTACAGCTGCCTCTAGTTCCCATTATTCCCTACTGTGTGTGCATGAGCCCAATCAGGCCTTTCTCTTTTATCAGTAAATCTCTTTACCCGCAGGGTGTGTCCAGTCTGCCTTAGATCCTGTTATTTACACTTGTAATATTTTCAGTCACTTTTAGTTTGGTTTTCCCTTCTTAAGCATTTTCAGTTAGTTCTGTTCCTGCTCTCCTTTCTTCCCCCAAATTTGTTACCCTTTCCTTTTAGACTGTTTCAGCTGCCATTCAATAAAGGTATGCTTTAATTTCCATCTCACCTGCCTATTCAGGGTCCTGATCCACAACTCATGTCAATAAGCTTGTTAGACTTGTCTAAACTATAACCTGTATTTCAATAACAGAGAGATCACTTGGAAGAATTTGACATGATGTATTGAGATAGAAATTAATGTATTTAGTAATTA